CCTTCAGTTGAGACTTCCAGTGTTTGAGACACCAAATTGCAACAGCCTCTCCTGGACAAAGATACTCACTATAACCAACCCATTTCATGCGACCCTGTGATAGGAGCATACTCCGGCTACTGCATATGGAGCTAGGACTGAACCAGCCATTTAGAGACAATTTAAATTATTCCCATGTAAAAATTCTGAAATGAACCACAAATTGCCTTGAAAGAAGGAAGGCAGAGAGTGACTTTTTGTCAAAATTTAAGCAAGATGTAACTCCTCCTTTCCTGATCTAAGCTGATGTGTTGGGTTTGTTAAAGAGCTATAGTGACAAGGGAAATAAAAATTGTTCTCTCCACCCAACAGAAATCCTAGCAGGCAGCTGGGCAGTCCTGATAAACATGAAATACTCTGCTAAAATAAGAAACTAAACAAAAAGGTAACAAGGGCTAAAGTGGCCTAGACAACTTAGCATCATTATCTGGAAAATAACATGGCATCCAAGTCCACAGCTATACCCAAACAGAGAGAAGATCAGCTCTGGTTGCTACATCAAACATGGCCCAGATCTTTTTCTTTCTTCCTCTTTCTTCAAACGTAAATAGTTCCAGGCTCTTAAATAAATTAGCTCAACTTTGGCTATACAAGTTGTTTCATTTTTTCTCCAAAAGGGGATATAGATGTTTGTTTAAAAATTGTAAATAAAATATAAATGGAGATTTTCCATTGCATAGTGATTCTTTCTGGTAGGTAATGATCAGCACTGTCCATTTTCCTTCTTTATCCTACACTTGGGGATCACAGCAACATTATGACTACTGATGGGAAATGGATGGGGGAAATAAATGCAATAAGAGGAGGATTACCTGTACTTATTAACCATAAAAGCAAAATAATAATCAGGTTTAAAATGCACAGAAAATAAGTGCAACAAAATTCCTTACCATTACTTATTATTTTGTTCTTTAAAAAACCCTGCTTTTTGTATATGTTGTGTGGAACATGTGAACCCTAGAAAGGCTAATTAGTGAAAGACAACAGTTCTTAAAAGCTCCACCAGCACTTAATACTTGACTCTGCTGGGGCTGTTCCTAGGACCCAAGTAGTGTCTATCTGGATTCTGTTGTTGCTGAGATTTTTTGCATCAAGATAGTTACAGCAATGTAGCTCTAGGATAAAAATACATCACACAGCAACAACATGACAGTGTAAGCAGAAGGTTCATCTTAGCTTCAAACTGTGACAAGTTATTTTGTATATTTGTGTGGAACGTTTTGCTTGTGTTTTCAAGGATGTAAAACTAAAGCAGGGCTTAAGTACTTCCATGATGGGATGTGAAGTTTCGCTTTAGGGCGTAATTAGCCAAGGGCAAGGGTTTTTCTTCTCAATATTACAGTGATGCTTCACATCCTTCCTAAAACTGGCTGGGGTGAGGTGTCTCTGGCTTTGAATCTTTCTCTAGCATGGAGCAGATTATTGCTGCTATTATTGATTTATGCCATGCCTGTCTGCTTCCAGCCTCAAAACACTTTACTAAGTTACACTATACATAGGAATCATTTCACGTCAGCCACCACCGCGCCGTAGCCTTCTCTGGAGAGAAGCTGAAGGGAGCCATTAGGATGGTGCCTGCAACATTAAACAACAATCCAGGAGAGGAAGTAAAGAATACTCTGGCTCCTTAAAGCAATGGCTCCACAGAATGCAGTCACTGAACTGCCATCCAGCTGGGACACCAACGTCAATACCCATTCACCGTGTGTGGTTAAAATTAAATCTCTTAATGAAGTGAGATGGTTTTAGTGGTTAGAGAGTGAGTGCAAAGTATTATTCTCCTGTATTATTATTTGTAAGCTATACAGCTAACAAGGGAAAAGATCACACACAGGAAAACAGCAGACAGTTAGATAATGTTCCAAGCCCAGTTTCTAAATGACATTTGGGCAAATAAAGCTTTGGAAAAATATATTAAAAAAAAAAAAAAAGAGGACACACTAAAAAAAAAAAAAAAGAGGACACACTAAAAAAAAAAAAAAAGAGGACACACTAAAAAAAAAAAAAAAGAGGACACACTAAAAAAAAAAAAAAAGAGGACACACTAAAAAAAAAAAAAAAGAGGACACACTAAAAAAAAAAAAAAAGAGGACACACTAAAAAAAAAAAAAAAGAGGACACACTAAAAAAAAAAAAAAAGAGGACACACTAAAAAAAAAAAAAAAGAGGACACACTAAAAAAAAAAAAAAAGAGGACACACTAAAAAAAAAAAAAAAGAGGACACACTAAAAAAAAAAAAAAAGAGGACACACTAAAAAAAAAAAAAAAGAGGACACACTAAAAAAAAAAAAAAAGAGGACACACTAAAAAAAAAAAAAAAGAGGACACACTAAAAAAAAAAAAAAAGAGGACACACTAAAAAAAAAAAAAAAGAGGACACACTAAAAAAAAAAAAAAAGAGGACACACTAAAAAAAAAAAAAAAGAGGACACACTAAAAAAAAAAAAAAAGAGGACACACTAAAAAAAAAAAAAAAGAGGACACACTAAAAAAAAAAAAAAAGAGGACACACTAAAAAAAAAAAAAAAAGATGACACACTAAAAAAAAAAAGAATTGGCAGTTTCTCAATGTTTTAGGGAACTAAACTAAACTGATGTCAGTTTTTATCCCCTATAATTCAGGTCCAGAGAAAAGAACATTATTAGCTTCTCTTAATGAGCAGGTATTCCCTAAACACTGCTGTAAATGCTCCTGAATTTTAATATGCTAAGAAAAAGCAATGGTAAAGTATTGGGGGAAAAAAAACCAACCTAACAGCTTATTTTTGTCCCTGAGTTAGCAAAATGCTTGGATGTTTTCTGGATGGGAGGTTTATATGTCTGACTAAAAAGATCCTCAGACAATGTTATCAAGCTCTCCTTTCAGGGCTTGTAATTGCTAGCTGGTTCTAATCATTCCTGCAAGTGATCATTTGAAAGGTTCATTTTATGACCCCTCAAACTGGCACAAAGAATCTCACTCCATAATGTAATAAACAATTCTACAACCAGTGCTTAATTAATTCCCGAAAGTCACCAAAAGGAGCTATTAATGATCTTTCTTTTTATCTAACCATAAATATGCAAGTCTCCTGGGATAAAGGATTTAAAAAGCACATTCTGGCAAAACTAACTGTCAACTTGATAAGGCATAAAATGATCACCAGTGAGGGTAATTCAAAATACGACGGCAACGCTGCCTAGACTGATTAGAATTCTCTGAATGTTGTACTTCCCAAAAAGAGGACAGAATCGACGCGTTGCAAAACAGACGCAACCCAAATGAACAAACCAGACAAAAACATGACAACCTTTATAAAATTATTTTTAAAAATAAATTCTATTTGGTAATTTGCTTAACTGTGAAAATATCAACAATCATTATAATTAGAATGTGGGCAAAATTTCAGGGTTGTTTAAAATATGTGTATTACAGAAAGCCTGATATTTTCAGGTGAATTTAAGTGTTTTAGGAGCCCAAGTATCGTTTTCACAAGTAAATCAGGCAATAGGAAGCCCTTAAATGAAATTTAGTTTCCTGGCAACCCAAGCCATTGCTGAAAATTAGATTTAGGCTTCTAAAGGTCTTTGACGTTTTTGAAAATCACACTTCCTGCAGCATTGCACAGCTGACTAGGTGTAATACAGTAATTTATCCTTCTACTGAGGATATCAGGAATGGAATCGCTTTGATGGCTTTGTGATGTCTAGGAGGAAAATTCTTACTGGGCATAGCCTGTGATGACTGGAATCTCTAACCAGAAGCAAGGGAAGGAAAGAAAGAGAGAATCTGCCTTTTCCAAAATAAACTCATGCAGTCCTTTGGGTGCTTGTGCTTGATGCCAGTGGGGCATGTGCACCAGCATGTCCCACCTTCAGAAGAGCTCCAGGAGCTATTGGACCCTCAATGGACTGGGGGCATCTGAATCTCTCCTGTTGAAGCAATCCCTGTGACACCCACTCATGGAGACATGAAATAGACTGCCCCACAACACAAGCATTATGGCTATTGCTATGTGCATGGAAAGCCAAGGTTCAAGATCCTCTCAAATGAGTTTTTAATTATTTATACAAGAAACAAACGCAACAGGAAACATGAAGGAAGATGCAGTGGGAAAGGACTTTCAGGCTCCCCACCCCTTGACTCCCTTGGGCTGGGCAAAGGCAGCCTCAGATCTTCAGAGCAGTGCTTTTCAGTCCCTTGACCTGCAGAAGGACTTGGGCTCTCACTGGGAGGAGGTGGCTGTGGATTGCTGCTCTTCACACTGAAGAACTTACTGTTCCAAATATTTTAGAATACTGAAAGTTCCTTTAAACAGGAAATTTTGAAATTTCTCATTTTTATTCTAATCTTCAATAAAACTTTTTTTTTTTTAATGTTGGAATTTCCTGTGGAACAGAAATTCTGTTTTGAATCCGTTTCTATTCAACAGCACTATTCAGATGGAAGCGTTCTCCTATTCATTCCACTTTGCAAGTAACTGGTGCCACCCCAAATGTACTGCTCTTCCAAGAATGATGTGGCAGCTCTGGAATAGCTAATTAGTTGGGCTGTATGATGCCTCTGCCAAAAGTTTCAGTTTCCAGAGGCATTCCTTTAAGGAATGGTGGTGTGGGTTTGGCATTTACAAGGATACACATGGTTTCGGGAGCCCACAGGCACCAAAAGTTAGCTTGTGTTTTATAACTGCTCATCTCAACCCAGCCATCGAGCCGATGTCCTAACCACAGTAAGTCAAGCAAACTTCTTCAAAGCACTCAGGGAGAAAGCTTTTGGTTAATTTATTTTTCTTTTTTAATAAAAATTTTCTCTTTGGGGCATCTTTTAAGAAAATTCCACTTCTACAGCTATTAACTGGGAAAATAATTAAATTCAAATATTACTAGCAATGTAATATAATCTCTTGTAGATAAATATCTTTGTCAGCCCTCAAATTTCTGTGCATTGTTAAGGTAAATGAAAGATGTCTAAATCCAGTACCTTTATACTTGGTCACCACAGCTGAGTTGACACTCAAAGGTTCTTGGAAGGTGACAGTGAGTGATGTACTGCTTGTTACCATGAGACAGACGTTGGTTGGCGCCTCAGGGGCTCCTGGGAGAGAAGAGAAAACATCAGCTCTTCAGCACAACAAATCCTATTCAAACAATGTTTCTGAGTCTTCAAAGAACCCACTGAAAATCACCCTGCAATTGTGAGCTTTGGGTTGTAGGTGTTTGTGTTCTCTGCCTTTTGAGCATTTTAATTAGTGCCCCTGCTAACAATATCCTGCAGACACCATTTGTTTCTATCATGGTTTTTGGCTCCTTTTGGTTAAAAATATCTTCCTGCATATATGTAACCCAATAAAACAGATTCATGCTAATTATGTCAATGAAAAGCCCCTATAAATCTCTTGGGGTGGGTAGGAGGAGAGAGAAAGGACAAAACCACAAAGAGCTAATTAAACCTTTATAGTTTCACTAACAAACTCAAATTTATCAAATAACAGAAAACATTTTTACATTATTGTGATTCAGAAATTGCAAATTCCACAAATGTTTTAGTGAAGTAGTTCCAAAATACACTTGTCAGTTGAGATCTAACATTTTTATTTATCTTTTTTAAAAAAAGCTTAATTCACAGAATATCAATGAGACTCAATTCAGAAATCAAACACAAAATGTTATGATTACTGCTGGGATTAGTTTAAAATATCATTAACTTACACTTCTGCTTTATTTCCTGTATTTAGTATCTAATACAAGGAGCACTACATCTGTCTTGAAGAAGTAATCTTAGAATACAATAAATTTGAGAAAATTGTTTGTAAGTACATTTACATAAATATGGTTGTAAAAATGTTAATGGCAATGACTGCATTTCATTGACTAGGATGCAGCTATTTTAGATCTACTTGTGAAACAATTCAGCCCTGTTTACTCCCTCACACGGGCCCAAATTCACATTTACTTGAGTACAGACTCACTTCTACAATTTTTTAAAGTGACCCAATCTGTGACTGTGCTGGTGAAATGTTATATATGGATGCCAAAATTAAGATTAAGTTTTCAAAATTTGTGTATGTAAAATGAAATTTCGGTTTTTGATCAAATGTTTAGATCAACTCCAGTCTTTTAAAACAGAATTATTTTTGTAAAATCAAATTACAACAGAAAAAAGGCCAATATCCCCATCACTCTTCCTCCCTATTCATATAGACTTTTCTAATCATCCTATTTTAAACTCTGAGCACATTAAACGAAATCCAGGAGTAAATGTTAAGAGAAATAAGCAAGACAGAATCATTAGATCCTGAACCAAGCATTTGGACGTCTCATCGATTTTATGCAGCCCATTCCTAAGGGAGCTGTGTGCTTGTTGCTCTCAGATACTTGGTCCTCTATTGTCCTAACATCAATTTTCTTCTCATTCTTGGGAAGGCCGTTTAGTTGTGTGCCTCAGTTTCCCCAAACTAACGTTTGTCTGCTTCACAGCAGTGCTGTGAGGAACAGTCACAGTGACAGCACCTTTGCTAACAAAGGCAGAGTGTCGTCAGTCGCAGAGTTCTTGTCTTGAACTGTGCAACTACTTTCTCCTACTTACTGGCGTGCTCGTAGCCCGCCTTCATGCGCTTGTACAGCCGGTGTCTCCATTCCCATGCTTTCAGCTGCTTCTCTTTCTCTGAGCTGTCTGTACCGTGGCCTTCATTCAGCACCTGTGCAGACAACTCGGTAACTCGCTGCTGTGCTTCCTGGACCAGCGTACTCAGATGCACTGACCTGCTTTCCTTGTTAACAACTACCAAGAAAAGGGAAAAGTCAATCATTGCTTGGTGGACTTAAGTGACAAAATTCTGGCCTTACTCATTCCAGTATAACACATGTAAGGACAAATCCTTGAACACTCCACCTTCCGGTAGTTCTCTTGTCATCAAGTGGATTACAGCATGCCAATTTATACCACTTAAGGATCTGGTCACTTACGAATGAATAAATTGAGCAGATTTTCTCATATGCTTGAAACATATCTTAATTAGACTGAAATTGCCTGTATGTTTTAAGTTCGTGGAATATTAAAAACAAACTAAAATAATAAAGCATTTAGTTTCTATCCCACCCCTACTTTGTCATGACCCCATTAAGATTTCATACAAAAAAAAGAAGGTTGCAGTGTTTATAAACACGTACAATGTGTACATCTCTATAAGCAGAGAGAGATCTAACAACTGGCAAACTTAAGAATGACAGTTTTGTACTTAAGGGCCATGGCTGGTATAGAATGGATCTCTTTCCAGGTTTTCTTTGTGCCTCAGTTTTGCCCATGTAATATCTAATTACTCCTCTGACAGACTGGACAGGTAGTGAGCAGTTTACACATGGAGATTTTGTTTTTCTTCACTGCTCAGAATAATTTTAATTTGATGTTTATCAGGTCAGATTGCCTGTATGAACTTCTGTGTGCTACAGAAAGGTGAAAATGAAGATCACATAGGTTACAAACTAAAATAGGTTTGATTTTAGCCCGTCTTTAGCACAAGACTACCCTAAACCAGCCCCTTGAAATACAGTGAAACGTGCTGAATCAAATCCTATTTTAAGAATTACTCTTAGCCGGAAATTGTTCAAAATATTTGCAGTTTAGAAAATAGGACTTATAAAGTTTTTTAATCTGAAAAGAAACACAACCACTGATCTAATACTCAATATGCAGGAAACAGTGTACAAGAGGAGAAATTCTGAAATCAAAGAAAATAACTTTTCTCTGGTGTCGGGTATTTTTGCAGAAGAGCTCTGAGACAGTCTTAACTGAAAAGGCCCCTATTTATCGAAAACTCTGCTCCAGCACAAGCAGCTGCTGTTAGCAATGCTGGGCAGTTGCTGTGTGGGCACAACCAGGGTCTCAGTTTCCCTAAGGTTTTTACAGGAACAGCATGAACCTTGCACAGGATGCGCTGGTCATTCCCTTGCATAAGCCAGGAGCAGCAGGCATTTCTGAAAACATTGGACTGTACCATATAAAGGACCAAGACTGACAAGTTTTTAACATTAAAATGCCAAATGAGCAAAGACACCTGTACAAATGAATGTGTTATTCCTAAACTGGAATCATAGGATTATGGGACAAATCAGGTTGGAAAGGACCTTCTCTAGTCCAACCTTCTGTTCAAAACAGGGTCAGCTATGTACGAGGTCAGACCAAATTACCGAGGGCATTAACCAGTATGGACTTGAAAACTTCCCAGGACAGAAGCTTTACAACCACTTTATGCAACCTGTTCCCCTGCTTTCCTGTCTTCATGGTGAAAAAGATGTTTGTTTTATCCAGTCTGAACTTCTCGTTTTAACTTTTGCCCTTTGTCCCTCATAACAATATCACAAAGTTTAGCAGAGTCTAAGAATAACCCTACAAACTACTGTGAAAAGTGCCATGGGATCTTTAAAGCCACAGGAGGAGAGCAAAGAATTACTCAATGCTTCTGACATCCAAAAGGTTGTTTTTGAAGAATGTTTGTTTCTAAGAATTTTCTTTCAGAAGCTGGCCTGAAGCCATCCTTCTTGAAGTTGATCATTCTTCATATGGACATTAGAGACATATGGCCAAGCTTACTGGAATCCGCCGGTATCCTCACACTGCCTGTTTACTGGGAGGCCAAAGGTGATAGTTTCCTGGATCCGTGCCTACAATAAGCATGTAACACATCTGATAGCACAACAGGACTGAGCAAGGAGATTTTATTTGCCAGAACTTCAGGTGATTGAGAACTGGCATTGGTTCAAGTTCTCACTAGGAATCTGGCTCTATCTGTTTAATCAAGATTTTGATGCACAATTGTCAGGTCCTGGAAACGTGTCCAATCTGCCACTGGAAATTTTAATCTTTCATTTGGCTTCACATGGACAGGCCAAGCCAAACCATGCGTATGTGATGAATAAGAGTAACTGAGCAGATAACACAGTGGACTTTGCCTTAAATTAATATTTTAAATGCCGTACTCTCTGATCTTTCTTACTTTGTGTTTAAGAGATGTTGGGTTCCTGTGAAGATTTATACAGTCTGAGCTCCATGTGGAAATGAAGATCAGAGTTTTACTTTCTATTGTTTTATCTGCTGTTCTTCCTATTCCAGGCAGAAATCCAGGTGATACAGATGGAAGCTATCTGTGCTCCAGATTCCTCTTTTTTACAGCATCAGGTTAGGGATTATAACGAGATTTCAGCTGGATTGCCATGGCTAATAGTGGAAGAGCAAGAGTTTTCTCTGTAGGAAGCTTTCTGTGTTCACTTGGGATGGGGAATTCCCCTACCTTGCAATCTTCCAGATCCGTGCATCTGTCCTATACACTTCCAATGAGATTAAGAGATGCTTGTGTCCTGTCCCAAAATTGGGGTGAGTCAGAATTTTACCTTGAAATCCCCTCCCCTCCCACTCAGTCCTGCTCAACCGCCCACCATAGAGAAATGAAAATGCTGTGGGTGCTGGATCATGTTCTTGTAGCCCTGAGATCATACAAACAGAATGGGTTTCATTCTAACAGGGTTGGTTAAGTACAGAAAGCAAAGCAGAAAGACTAGAGAAAACAGAAAGTGACTGCTGTCAGTTCCACAAGAATGAAGCCACGTATAAAGCTGCTGGGAACCTTTGTTTTGAGTGCTGAAAATAACTTTTTGCATTTTGCGGTCAAGTAGCAACTGCAAACCCTTAAGGTAAAAAAACCCCAAACAAACAATCATTTGCTTTTTATTGAGAATGCTTCATCCATTATTTCAATCAGAAAAACTAAAAATCAAGATAAGTGAAGTGGAAATTTGGTGGGTATATTTTGAAATGGAAATGAGGTGGTTATATATTCATATTCTCTGTGTTCATAGGCATGTTTGCATTAATTACAGGAAATGAATACTAATTTATGATTGCCCCTGCTCGCCATCAGACTGCATTTATTTACAGATGAGGTCAATGAAAAATTAGTTTAGTCTTTTTTACTGCTGTTTAGAACACTCAAGACTGTGTTTTCCTCTAGATTTGTCATGGTTAATGAATGTTGCTTCAGCAGTCAATCATGTACTCTAAATGCTGTCACACTTTTTTTTAAAGCCTCAGTCATGAACCATGACAGAAAAATAAACAAATAAATATAAAACTAAAAAACTCTTTTCACTGAGCAGCTACACTATGCAAAAATCTCCAGGGAAGGTTAAAGGAGGCCAGAATAAATGATAATATAAGTGCTGTGGACATAGAAAAGCAATAAAGGTGTACCAACACTGAGGGTCTGGCAAAAAAACCCAACACACACACGCACATGCACACACACTCTCCAGTGAAAAAACTGGCAATGTTAGTAGCCTCAAGGTGCAATTTCCTGGAGCACTGAGATTGACATGCCAGCACTAAATGTTGTTAATTTAACTAACTTCAAATTAATGGCAGAGTCTGCAGTGGCCGGACCCCTCAAACACAGTCTCATTATAGCCTTGCTGGGAATGTCCTAAATATAGGCATTGACAGTTTAAAACAAATTCGTATACATTGGTGTATTTTTAGACACAAGTAAGGCGTCAGAGTTTGTGTCATGGTATATGGTTGATTAATTGGGTTGGTAAGTCACCCTCTAACCCACAAATTGTGCATAAAAATGCCCATGAAGGAATACAAAGGATAGTTTTATAACTACGATATGTAGTTATAAGCAATATTGGTATTCCAGTAAAGTGAGTATGTCTGCTTTGTGCTTAGATTTTCTCTGGTTCTGTAGAACTTTGAAATTCTCATTTAGGTGGGATTTTAGGCCATTTGGAGACTAGGCGTGAGGAGTCTGTGGTAATGGAAATGATAGATTTCAACACAACCTGTCTCCTGAAGGCAGCATAGCCAAAATCAAAAGGATAATCAAAATAAACCAATGTCTAGACAACCCATCGTCCTTTCACTTTTGATGACAAACACCGTATTTCAGACCATGATCTTTGAATCACTCACTTAGTTCCTGTTTCCCTATTTTTTAAGATTTTTTTTTTCAGTATTGATAATAACTCAGCTGCTCCAGTGTTAATCACATTATTAGCTCAACCTGATTCATCAGGTGTGTGTCTGACATAAAGAACAAAAAAGATCTACTGAGCACACATTTAACAAGCAGCTATTGCTGCAAATGTCCTCCAGAACTGTGGTACTATTGCTGGAATAATCATCTTTATGATAAAAACAGTTGATTTTTGTGTGTAATGTAATTAATTTCCCAAAACAGTAGCAAACCTAATCTCCTACAGATAATTATCTAAGCCAATTCAGCGTGTGTGTATTACTTACAGTGTGGGCTTTCCTTTGCCCCAACGTGTAGAAGGGTCCTGGCAATGGGAACGTTGTTTGTCAAAATAGCAATATCCAGAGGAGTTAGTCCCTCACTGTTTGGTGTGTTCAGGTCCAGTTCCTCCAGTGTGTATTGATAAAGAAGAATCTGAACAGCGTCCAGATCTTGCTGTTCTACGGCCTCAAACATAGCTTCATTGCACTGGAAATTCTGCATATCAATAAAACCAGAAATTCAGTAAATTTTCAAATATCAGTGTTTAAAAAATATTTTGAGAGAATTTATGTTGTGTGAGATCTCTAGAAAATATTGATCCCCCAGCCCCAGCTTAGGTTCAGTTATAAACATGGAAATTGGTTGCAGCAGAACAGAGCTTGCTCTGCCTCTGGACTTGTGTGCTTGAACTTGCTTCATGTCTGTGGGAAGATTCAAGTGAGATTCAAACCCCCACAAAACAAACCTGTACCTACTTAGACATCTGTTCTGTAATCAAGTTATATGCGCAATATTATATGTTTTTAGTGTGAAACTGGATGAAAGACTATGACTTTGACAGAGCCTTAGACCACCATTTTTCAAACTCAAAATTTAAAATCTACAAACTCAGGTGATCAAAATCCAAATCAAACAAGCTATTCTGCAGAAAAACCTTCACAGTTCCAGTGGGAGCTAGTAACAGGTATTGTTCATTCAAGCACTTCAGTCATTTCTAGGTGCTCATATTTTTGCATTTAACTTGTAACTAGAAACATCTTTGAAGTCTATAGTCCTTTAATAAAGAAGTAGAGACTCAAAAAATTGACTGTCCAGTGTGCATGTCCAGAACGTGATGTGTCTGAACAGCAGAGAACACGAGCAGCCAAACCCAAGAACATACATGGCACCAACTCTCAAGCACAGAGAACCACTGAACCTTTTCTTACCAATGTCAAGGAGATAAAAGAATGGTATAATACAAAGAAATGAATCATTTCTTAATTGAGCTGGGAAGAAGCAGGTGCAGGAGAGTAGCATCGCCTGCAGGTTTCTCTTATGAAAACATCCTTCTGGAGCCTACAGTAATGACATGTTATTTGCCAAGATTCTTTAAATTCTCTCCCAGTGTCCCATTGCCATAATTACCCAATAGGTTTTTTTTTCCTCTTAAGAATGAGTTAGTTGAAGCAAGAGGCCCAGCTAAGCAAGGAGGGCTCAGCATGTGGTCACATAAAGGAACTGAGATCTACGTAGACATATTGTGCCAGTGGGCGTACTAAAGAAACGCATACATTAGAGAGCAAACGATCCAGATCCATGATGTAAACAAGCTTCCTGGGTCCTGGAACCCACATGGAGGAAACAGAGGGAATTCTTATATAATAATGTATTCTTTATGACATGAAATACTATTGAATTGAAACCCTCTTCTATTGTGATTAAAAATTAACATTTCAACCACATCAAACCATTTTCTTTTTTAAATTGATGCAGCTTTCTTTGTCATATCCCTGCCAAAGTTTTGCTCTCAGTGAAACACTTTCTGAAAGAGCACTAATTCGCTGCAACATCTTTTGTCTCCTAAAACATGTAGACTAATGGTTTGCAAGCAGTTCTGAAAAGGAGTCCACACCTCTGCCTCAGAATTTGATAAGTTCTACAGGTTTTTTTCAGTTGTGCTTGCAGTTAAAAGTGTCTCCAGAAATTCTGAGGCCTGACAGAGATCTTCTGATCTATTGCTTTGCATGTGAAGTATTGGTATCACACTAAGAAATTGCAAAGATAACATTATCTTAAATGTTTATTATGGACCTCACCTATGCTGCATATTAGGGATCAGCAGAACAAGAAGATAGATGTACATAAGATGATATTTACCCAAAATTATCAATATAGGGAAATGAGGTACTTATGTTAGATGACTAAGGATGAGATAAACTATGCAGCAATGCAGCTAATCTAGGAGAGTTGTGCTGACTTGGGAATCTACCTTTTAGACACCTAAGTGCAAAAGATAGCTCACGCTGGAGAAATATTTTTTTCTGTAGATTTCCACACAGAATAAAATATGCTACTTACTTAAACAAGTGCTTCATTGAAATGGGTCTCTGTCAATTTTTTTTTTTCAGATTCTCCTCCAGATTGTAAGATTCAGATTTAATTTCATTATCAAATACTTAGATCATGTTTCAGTGTTAGGTGTAAGAGAAAAATCTCAGAAACAGCTGAATGGTAAGCAGGTAGATTTATCATTTTTTATTCCCCTCTCTGTTCAAGGCAAAAAATCGTCTATAAGAACATATACTGTCAATCAGAGAGGGAACATCTACAGAAAATTCTGGAAAAGAGGCTAGCACATATTTCTTGTATTATAAGGTAAAACTTTAAAATGTCAGAAATTTTTACTGCAATGCAGCAATATTTCTTTTCATTCCAGTAGCTCCACACATCTGCTGGCTTGCTTATGTAACACCTTATCATCCTGAAATAAGAGATCTTACTCTGATTTCGGTGTTTTGCCCCTAGCCTGAAGGGATGAAGTGCTCTGGCTAGAAATTGAAAGAATTTTAACTAATTTTATTTATAATTACGAAATATTTTAATTAATGGTATGATTGTAATACATGGTATATGTTATCAACTCCTACTCAAGTCAATGATATGCATTTAACAGCTGTATGTCACTGTACTGTGTACTCCAAATTAACATAAATAGATCAGTCATGTTGCACCTAAAGGGGGGGAAAAAAAAGCTGTCCTCCTTCACTCTTTGAAATTTCATTATTATAAATGCAGAACTATGAACCGATAGATTGGGTTTTCGTATACATGACAAGAAATGCATAATATATTCATCAATTCTCCAAATAAATATGTGCGAACATTCTAAAAAGCATTAATTTCATTGCAATTTACACCCTTTTCAAATTTTTCTACAGATTTTGGAACTTCCTCTATACTGTTGTTTATGGAAATAAAGGGTAATTATGCTTCAGAAGCATCTGCATTTTGATCCAATCAGAAAACAAGCAAAATCATATTACTATTGTAACTGATCACAGCTAGGAAAATCTATTTATTTAACTGTAAATTCATGAAGAGCTTACTACAAAGGGAATTGGTTGAAGTAAACTGAATGACTACATTAATTTCCATTTCTTTTAGTTAAGTTTGGTTTAGGAAACACTGGGTACCAGTCTGAGAGCAGAACAAAAAGGTGCAGCTGAATGTTACTTGTGCTCACTGAGGACAGGAAACCAAGTATTTCTCTGTTCACTTCTGTGGCACTGGGTACATATATGGTTTCCCCCTTTTTTAAAATCAGAATATTCATTATCTTTTAATTGACTTCACGTATGTGCATAAAAGTTAAATGAGTTAGCATTTGTAGAGTGCTACCCTGAATGCTCAATACTGTTATTTGGTTTTAATTCCAGTTTTGTGTGAAACTCAATAAATCTTGTACTACATCTCAGGAGTTTCTTGCATTATATAAAACAACAAAAAAAAAATCTGTCGTATAATAAAAAAAGGATGGGTAACTTCAGTATTACAGCTGACATTAACCCCGTGATAGGGCTGACAAAAGCATTTGGCCCTTTTCAAATATATGTATGCATACTTTAAGAACAGATTTTACCTACCTGGATGATTATTGTAGAATTATTTTTAAAGCTTTGATTGCATTGCTATTTTTGGATTCAGTTATCAAGACGTAGATGCTTTTGAAAATGCATCTTTGGATTTTTGCTTGCCAAATGAAATACCTAAAGTATTTGTGAAATTTTGGCCTTAAATAAGCTGCTGAACAGAATCTAAGCACATGCTTAAGTTAATTCCTCATAAACACTCTTGCCAGCTAATTTGTTGGCAAGAATGTTTCACCAAAAGGGAGAAAATGGAAGAAAATCTCTATTTCTTCATTTCATTAGAAATCTGATTGAAAAAGCTGCACTGATTTAAAAAAGAAACAGAGCATGAATTTTATAAGCTATTTCATCCAATCCAAACAATTATGAGACCAAATTGCAAATATCAGGTTTTCCAAATGAACAATTCAGACACAAGCAATAGGCTAAAATATGTTGGCAGGTCTGGTAACTTCAGAGTGTAAAAACATGGGAACCATGATACGGCTTTTTTAACTGGGCACGTATGCATCCCTCACTCACATAGCAGTGCACATCTGACCAGGCTATACCAATTTCCATTAAAAAATATCCTGGTGAGACAGCAAAGCATCTACCACATTTTGAGCCACACCAGTAAATTGCCCTGTTTGGAAGTCTGCATTGAGCCCAGCTCTCCAAGTCCAGAAAAACAGTCTGCACACCTGACCAACTTTTCCTCAACTATTTCCTTTCACACAGAAAACAGAACTATATTTGAAAACTATTTCGTTTTCTGCAAAAAAGCTGATCATATTCTATGTAAAAGACTCTCTAGTATTGCAGTGTTATTCAGACTGGTGCAGCCCAGGGGTAAGAAATTCCAACAGGGGTAAGAGCTTAGTATCTTTAGACCCATGTGCTCAATTTTAGCCCAGCTGGTATTGTCACAAATATTAACAAGAGCCTTCTGATTTCTGCCTTCATTACATTTACTGGATAACCTTCTTCTGCTTTGAAAAAACCAACCCATCAAATTCAAAGAGAAACTGAATCACGTTTACAAGTGATCAGGTAAAGTTTAGGGGCAGTTTTTACCTTGCTTTTTCCTTGACTCAGTCCTGCAGCCTCTAATCATTAGCTAGACAGCTGTGCTATGTGATTAATTTATTTAGGTGTTACTCTGATGCACAAATGTATATACTGAAAAGGACTACAGTATTGCTTTGCAGTAAGTAATAACCATGTTCCAGTAAGTGATTCAGTGCTGGAGTGTTTAGAAATGCAATCTTATGTAGCTTAATTAAAATGAAGTGCCCCTTTCAAGATATTTGCTCTAGGTTTGACTGAAAAAGTCCACTATGTGCTACTGGAGTTGGAAAAAATGTTAAAGTAGTTTCTGCAAAGACTTGTTTTGATAAACATGAGTTCAAGAATAAAGCTATTTTGGGACATTGCTATGTCTGCAGCAAGACAACAATTTACTGAATGGAAAGTGTTGCACAGCAAGAGAGAATGGAAAGAAAACTCTTCACTAGCCAAAGCTCAAAGAAAACAAATTCTAACAAATGTTGTTCACTTGTCTGGAGACGTGATTTTAATCATTGACTGAGTTCTGTAGCACAGAAACTCAATGATTAGAAAATCCATCAGCTAGCAGCTTGACCTGGAATATTTCCACCCCTTCACTGATGCTTTCTTTGCTGTTTATTTCTAGGGAGAACTGTGAAAACAATAGGCAGAATTGATAGAATGGGATCTAAAGCCTTTTGGGTTTAATGGGAGTCTCTTCACTGACTGTTGTGGACACCAGCTGGTAGTACACAGAGGTACCTGTGCTCACTGTAGGGCAGCAGTGACAAAAGCTGTGTCACTACCACGACAGCATAGTGTGCTGGGGAAAAACAAAGTTCGCACAAGTCAGTCTATAATCCATTAAACCACTGTCCACATCACAATGTAAAATCAATTCTCCTAATTATGCTTACTGATTGAACAGGCACTCCCACTGCCTGACAGATCGTGACTAAAAAGGGAGACAAGTAAGATTGTAAGTGTTTAACTCTGCAGACAGCGGAGGACTTGAGCCTCAGCAGCAGTACACTGCTCCTCGCCCTTGGGCTATGCTTGTTTGCCATTTTTTTCCATTAGTTAAGTACAACAGAAGACTCCATATTTGAAGGAATATGTAATTTGAAGTGTATATTTGGAGAAACACTGGTCAGAAGATATGCTAACAGACTGGTATTCATTCAGTCTGCATGTCAGTGTGCTCTGGCATGGTCCCCAGCACTACTTTACCCTCCTCTCTTTCACTGGCTTAGTCACACACAAGCTTACACTTGAAAAGAAAAAGGCAAGAAAAGATAGCAGCTAAAAAATTAAAGAATATTCGCCCACAGTTTATAATGAGAAGCCCAAATTTCAAGCAATCCCTACAAACTGAAGGCATCTGGAAACCCACTGCCTCAAAAGCACAGCTGTTGGCTGCTATGCAAAGGCTGTTCTCCAGCTATCAGGCCCTGTTGGGGTTTCAGGCTTCTCCTTCTGTAAAACACAATGTCTTGTCTCTGGCAGAGCCACCATCCCCTGCTGCCTTCAGGTCAGCGTTTCTTCACAGGAGAGAGACAACAGTCTCTTGACTTCCCACTGCTCTAGAGCTGCATTTCATCTTAGCTCTTCTGTGACGCATCTGACCTCAAGAAAGGAGTGATCCTAGGGGATAGGATCACTTAATTGATTTTAAAATTACTTTCGATTCTTGCATTGATTCATATAACTTGTCTTATACATAACAAAGATTTGTGAGTGTTAAAGGAGTCTAGAGTATGCTTGTTCTTCTGACAAAATGTATTATTTTTATTATCTGGCGTGAAGTGCTCATGTGCTTTCCTGAACTGGCACCAGAGTGCTCAGCTGTGCTCTGCAACTAGCGTAGGGTACCAAACTGCTTCATGTGTGGTCTCCTGTTTCCATGCTCTTATCTAGTGACAATCACCACAGCCTGAAAAACTTTGCATTTACCTGTCAAAGCATATAAGTTCCAGTTGCTCTGTTGTATGGAAAAACAGGAACTTCTGTTGAAGTCATCTTCAGTTTTCTCAAAACACTTTTTCTTCATTTCTTGTAAGAAAAACACTTGTGTGCATATATTTAATCCACATTTTGTCACATCAATGCCAAGTTAAGACCTTACTCCTAAAATAAAGTATCATCGCTCAAGTAAGGTAGCTTTTCCTTGGCCTTCAAGAAGGTCAGACTTTATTTTGATGCAGGATTATAAATGGTAAGTCTGAGAAGAGCACACAGCATTGGTCAGAATCGACAAAGCAAGATGATTAAAACTGTACACATTAAAAGCAAACCAATTACGGAGTTTAATTACGGAGGACAGTAAATTAGCAATTTGATAAATATCAAGTAATTACCATTGAGGTCTTACGAAGACTGAGCCGGTCGGATCGAGCTCTGAAATATGCTTCGTCAAAGGATGTGTGACTCCCCTTAAGCTTCTCTGACAGGTTCCGATACAAGCGCTTTGCAGCGTTTGGAGAGGATGGCATGCTGTTCTTTTTAGTCTGGAGGAGACTTAAGTTATGCATTTGCTGTGTCATTTTCAGCTAGTAGTTTCTACAAGAAAAACAACAGCTGTTTAACAAGGTTTTGCTACACTAACATAATCGATCAGCACTGTATCATTGAAACGCACGTTGCAAGATTTCTATGGCAAAAATCACTTTCATACACACAGTTTTTGTACTCTCAGAAGCACGGGTTTGGGCTTTTTCAGTGGCAAATTGCTCCTTATGAAATTAGTCCTATGGATATCTATGGGGAGGGAGAATTAAGGATGAAAAAAACCCCGACAAACAGACCACTTCAGAACTATTTACTAATTTGTATAAGAAGGGGTTTCATTTAATGAGGGAAATGGCTTTTTGACAGAGTGAGTTCTAGTTGCACAGGTGTCAGAAAAAATGACACCCAAATGTGTTACTATACAATTTGGGTAACTTGTACATAATCTGTGTTTTGTCAGTACAATGGTTAAAATAAAACTGAAGCAATTGAGAGGAAAACATCTACTGATTACAGAACACAATGCAGGATTGAATTTAACTGCTTAAATGACTTAAGTTTGATAGAAGCACAACCGTGATCAGACATGTGCTGTATTTGCCACGTTACTGTCCGTTAGCACTGTGTGCTCCAAAAACATGTGACGTTTTCAGTTGCGTGGGTGGAATCTCTTTCTCTCGGGACTCAAAGCAGTATTTCTCACTCAGCAACTATGGCTGCATTCAAAATAATTTTTCATCTCTGAATCCATCACAAGCTACTACAGAAATAATGCATGGATTCACATGTAATTTGCATCAAATGCTGACATGTTATCATCCAAATCAAAGTCCATTGCTACACAGAATGGTTTTTAGTTAGAGTTTTGAGGAGCATTTGGCAGGGAGGGAACCTGCTCTGTGACCAAGACTGCTAAGGTGCTATGTTTTAGGAAACAACAGCTGAAACACAAAAGATCTATTTAGACTGCTATAGGCATAATGAGGCATATGAGCATTTTTACTTCAAACTACCTATGGCCAACTAGCATCCTGGTTGTTGCAAACAACGACCTTACACTTTATATTTTACAGTTAAAGTAATCTGTGATTCTCACTGGTGCTGCTTATGGTTTCATACTGAGTAGTTTCTTCCCTCAGTTAGTAGACAGGCACTGATTTTGTCTGCATATTGTATAACTTTATTCTGCTCTGTGTTTGCCCTGTCCATTTAGACTGCAAACTCTTCCAAGGAGGAGTGCCTCCTCTCTCTAAGGCTGCCCAGCCTAATAGGATTTCCATATAATCTCATAATTAATAATTTCAATGCACTAGGATTACAGTCATTTTTCCATATTAGGAAAAATTGCATTAATATTTAACTCTCTGGAAATGCTTTATGCGGGAATAGTTTCGCCTTTCTGAAGGGAAACTAAGAATCAGATTTGACTCAACTGCAGAGATCCCCAGGGATTTCTGTAAGTGAAAAGGTGACGAAAATGCACATTTTCTTCACATTTCCTTTTTCCCTGCCAAGAGTGTGTACATATTTAGAAGACAGAATGTCTCTCTAGAAGACCTGACAGTTGTAATAGTAAATCTGGCTACCCTTTCAGACTATCTTTTCCTGGAAATAAGCTTTAGATTCTTTGTATTATGATACAAATCCTGTAACTTTCTGTTCTTGTGGTCTCAGCCTGCATCTACACAAATCAGACTGCAGGATCAGGTCAATACTGTTTACAATCATAAAAGCATTCTTTACCAAATACTTGCCCTGCTATTGGGGCTGCTCATTGGCAAGAATTGGTCCCCAAGATTAAAAGCACCACCCAGGTCTCATATGCTGTCTACATCTTCCATTCTCATTTGTAAATTGTGGTGAAGCAGACACCCTGAGCACAAAAGTATCTGGTTATGAGTAATCTTACATTTTCTCCAAGCTCATGGGGTATTGAAGAGAGATCAAGTCTCTGAATGAAGAGAGACAGAATCAACATAATTGTCATATATGATGAGAAGACTTTGTTAAATGAGAACAACAGAGCCTGCAATCAGAAGATGGGAATTATGTGAGCTGCATCCCTGAAACCAATGTGCAAGAGCGGATACGATAAGAAACGAGCTCTCTGGGGCTCAGGGAGTGACAATACTACAATGATTGTGGACTGCTTTTCTCTGAGCTTATGGAATACAGGTAAAGTGAGACCCACACAAGCAATTCATCCTGCCTTTTAATTATTACATGAATTTCAGCAGTGCCTACAAGGACTAACTAAAATCACTGTCTGTTCAAATGAAGCATTTTATTCTCTTCCCCAATCAGCAAGCTTGCATAGAATAGCTAGAAAGGCTGAGTGGAAACCAAGAAACATAGCAAAATATGTTTAATCAAAGTCTCTGTCCTGAAAAGATGCTTGTTAATGTCAGAATAGAGTATAACACTGAAATTATGATCACCAGTGCCAACCCACAAGTGTTCCAGACATGGCAGAGTTATTTGAAACTATGTGCTGGAATCAGTGTAGTTAGCCTTTACTGTATAGAAGCTGTTAGTAAGTGTTCAGTTTTAATATTGGACAAACTTAGAGGACAGTCTTTTGTTTTACAGATGCATCTGTGGAACCATTTGGGAGTATAAACATGAAACAAAACTCTTTAAGATGGTCAAAAGATTTCATTCACATCTGTCTGTTTAGCATAGCTTCAAGGGTTCAGTATATTTTCAGCTATTTATTAAAAATAAGCTTAAAAAATAGCCAAGGTGTGGGCTCCTGTTCATATTGACTGCATATAAGCATAATTTGAGTCCAGCCATTACAAGTCCTAGGCATTGCTGGAGTCCTTCCCGCCTTGATCTGGTCAATGAAACAGGATTTATACATTCAGAAGAAACAATAGTGTGTTACTAACCATCTAAACAGTGACTTTCGAAGACAGTAACAATGGGTTGTCCAGATTATGCATGGAAATTTTTGAGTACAACAGCAGAGCAGATCCTCAGACTAAAATTAATGTAAGAAGAGGACAGAATCTTTTATAATCTCATGAAAGTTTCTCTGAAGTCAAGAGCAGGTGAGACTATAGCGAAGCTCAGCAAACACTGTAGAAATTGCAGCTATTCAACAATAAAACAGATGACATGTTTTCTATCTACACAGAATCAGTGCATCACAAATGACTTGAAACATATAAATGTTTCCTGTATACTAACCATCAATACCCTGAAATAGTGTAGATGTAATAGAGTAAATACAGCACAATAAAGCAATAGCTGGAATAATATAATGCAAATGAGCAATATTTTTTATCAGCATACTGGAACAGTAAGATGCAAAATGCTATTGAAAATTATCATCCTTAACATGTTTTCCAGTCACAAGGTATGAAATGAAAAAGAAAGGTAAACTGCATATTCTAGAAAACTTTGCAGAAGTGTGATCTTATTAGGCTGCAGAAATGACTCCTAGAAGAGCAATGGAAATGAGACTGGGCAAAACCATGGGCAAAATGTATAATAAGAAACAAGGAAAACAAAGACAGCTCAATTCACATGATTCTGTGATTGAAAACTTGTTGGCTTTTATTGGATGTTGGTATTTGATATTTTCAGACATGAGTTATTTTTAAAAAGGAGCCTAAAACTGCTCTTACTAGTCATTCATTTGGGGTTTTTTTTACGACCATATCCTCACCTCACCGATCAGGTGAAACCCTGAAGTGTGCATTGCTTTATTGAAATAACAAATCTCCCAAATTAAATGCACTTAACCTGAGGATCTCTCATTGTCACAAATAAAATTTTTATAGTATATGGTAGTCTAACAGTTTAGAAACAGGTGATGTCCAGAACTGACCCATTTGAGATTTTCACCTGTGGAAGCCCTTGCACATACTTAGCACAGGTGAGAACGAAACGATAAGGACATCTAAATGATAAGAACATCTCAATATGGTTCAGAATAACACTCTGATCTGACTAACTAGCTTTCTTACAGCCAGTCAAGAACTACAACAAGCAGCCTGTGACAAGGTTTCTCAGTATGAGGCAGAACTAGACAGAATAACAACAGCAGCTCCCCTTATAACTAGTCATATTAACAGTAGTTTGCATTTCCAAGAATTAAAAAACATAAAGTGAAAGTCTTATGACAGTAGTTCAAATAACATATAACCTGAATCTCTGGGGAAACTGTTACTGCACTACCCTGGAAATAACCAGCAAACCAGGCTCGCTGTGACCCTGCTACAGCATGTACCAAACCAGTGATCAGAGTCTTCCAACACACATTTCATGCTGCACATACTGTAGCTTAATCTTTCTGACCAGGCTTCTACTTGTGCTTCGAAGCACTGAAGTAACTGTTTTATTACCCAACAGCAGGGTGCTTTAAAATTCAAATTCAAATGACTATGTCAGTCACCTTTATAAAAGCTTTTTTTTTTTTAATTGGCAAATAACTGACCTAATATTCATGTCCTTTTAAAAGCGTATTGCAGAGACAGAGTAAAAAAATCTAAATTATAGATCACTGTCTGTTGTATGTGGCACATACATGCTGCACTGCATAGACAGGTGCACTAGGAGGACACAGCATAGCTGTAAAAGCATTTATTTCAGATTTTAGGAAAACACAACAGTCAGAAACCACTCAGCACTGTACTAGTTCTTAAATGTTTATGAAACAAATTTATACTTGAAACTAATAATCAAGACTATATGCATTATAGGGTTAAATTAGACTTACCAGCTTAGGCTATCCAAGGCAAAATGTGAACAAGTTGTTGGTAATTGTCCGCTGTCTTCATTCAATGAATCATTGGTTTTGCTGTCTCTGCTGGTTCAGCCTCTGGGCAGAATGAGTAAACCTCTTCCTTATACTGCATGAATGATCAGATATGAAAAAGCTTATTACTACCAATTACCGAAGTCCAAGATTGCTGACAAGATCTCAGAGCAAAACAGTCTTTAAAGCAAATAGTGTTGTATCACAGGTAAAATGTTTGGTGCCTGAACTCTATACTAGTTACCTGTGCAGCTATAGGAATGACAAATATATAAAGCTCTTGCCTCCGTAGTCAAAGATGCCATGACTTCTGCATGCTTTTATCTTGTATTCCTTAAAATTGATCAGCAGCACAGCGTGCAAGTAGAAAAAAAAAAATCACTGCCAGAGTAAACAAAATTGTGATTGTCATTAATTTACCATGAAGTATAAGCAAAAAGGCATTAATGCAGAGCCATCTTAAAGCAGTTAGTTTTATATTAAACCAATAAAAGGGGGAAAAAAGAGAATCACAGTCCTACACTCAGTCCAGTAATGCATGTTGCATGTGATGTATTGTTTCTTCTTTCTTCAAGCAAGCTATCACTACAGCTGTCTGCAATCATAGCAACAAAAGCAGCAACCATATCCATAGCTATGGGACATCTGTAAGATCATTTGAAAGCTCCCAGCCTGAACAGGTTACGCTTGAAAAACGATTATTAAATGAATAAGAAAAACGTGTCTTATTGATGCCTATGTTGCAGCTAAAACAGATCCTGTAATGTCTGCATTTAGAGCTTCTGAAATAGTAGAATGGTGATATTTGAAAATATAATTATTTTTTTCTATCGGGCAAACGCCACAAATGCTGGATTCCACAGAAACCTGCAAAGATGTTACAAAGTCAGAATATGCAATAACCACACATGGGCTTAGAATTCTAAAAATAGTGTAGTAAAAAATAGTATAAATAAAGATAAACAACAATCTACAAAAATCCTTATCCTTCCTGGACAGTCCGCTGGGTTAAATTCATGTAACCAGAACACTCCTGTGTAACACCTGGCAATAGAAAAAATATTAAAACTGGGGTCTGTCATAACTAATGATCACCAATCGCTACAGAAAAGGTAGTTTTAATTCTTTTAAAGGGATACCACAGCTACTGATGCAGTCTGCTGAAAAAATTTCACTGGCTTTATTCAGACACGATGCTTGATTTTTGGAAAATGTTGGCAGCCTCCCAAAAGCTGGTGCCCAGTCTGATTCTCCCACCCTACAAAATTCAGTTAAGGCTACTGGATACCATACCAAATAGTGTCCTTCTGCCAAAGGAGCTGAAGCTAAAATCTTATCCTGGGCCTCACATTTGTATGTCATGGGAATTGAACTTATTCTATACTTTTAAAATCAATTTGGATATGGCCCAAATAATTTCTTGAGAGATTTTCTCAAGATTATATATATACACATATACATGCACATATATGGGTATGTAAGCATGCATATGTACACTTTTCAAAGACAAAACATGAGTATCAAATGCAACTACCTGTATGTTTTCCTGCAGCAGAGAATGGCAAAGTGCTATGCCAGCATGCTACGCACAACATTCCTTCTCCTATACCATGAAGATCACAGGCTGTATGTGTATAGGATTCTTTTGTTCTGCTGTGTCCAAGGATCATTAGTCAGAGCCTGCAGGACAGCTGGCTGAGGTCACTGCTCCTTGCCAACAGTAGGAAGATTGGAAATCTTTTGAAAACCACCACATACCCCTCTAACACTGGGATGCTATCTGGAAAAAAAGCATGCTGAAAATCTGAAATGTCTAATTTAGTTAAAATTAAACATATGCATAAAAATTCCATTTTCAGTGGGGATGAACAGGGATGAGCCTTTTGAGTCAAAATCCCTGATTAAGTTTTTTTTTGTCTGTATAGACTCCATCTGTGGAACTCACTTGTGAGGGAATTCTCAATTTCCAGCTATTTTGAGGGGAAAAAGCTAAAGCGAGTTTACAGAATCACATGGGGTTGGAAGGGACCTCTGGAGATCATCTAGTCCAACCCCCCTGCCAAAGCAGGTCCACCCAGAGCAGGTTGCACAGGAACTTGTCCAGGCTGGTTTGGAATGTCTCCAGAGAAGGAGACTTCACCACCTCTTTGGGCAGCCTATTCCAGTGCTCTGCCACCCTCAAAATAAAGAAGTTCCTCCTTATGTTTAGGTGGAACCTCTTACATTCAAGTTTGTGGCCATTTCCTTTTCTTTCAGTGCATTTACTGAAATGAGTCTACTCTTGAACATTTTCTAGCAATTTCTTATTGTGGTTCAATGCTTCCCCCCTCTCCTTTGCTTTCTCTCTTCAGCTTAGTGGAAAGTAGACTTTTTGCAGTTGCCATTTCAACTTTCATAATGCTTTGTACTTCTCTATTGCTACCCAAAAGTTATTTAGTAGAATATTAAAAGACAAGATGTTTTCTTGCCCAAGCTAGTTCTATGAAAGACAATTAGTTTATGTGAAGTAAACATATTTCTAAACTTCCTGTCATATGAATTTAAGTTTGTGATTAAGCTGTTCAAAAGCCAGAAGACATAAAACAACACTGAGTAAGGTAAGAGAAGTAATCGTAAGTTTACCAAATGATAAAAACATGAAATTAATTACTAAAAATGGTGAATAAATGTGTGTAAATAAGTGCATGAGGCACCTACATCTAGTTCTGGAAATACAGAAGACTTAAAGACCTACAGAAAACAAAAACTTGTGTTTATGATAAAACAAATGCAAACAGATCCATCAGTCTGATCTGTACAAACCCCTGCACGTTCTTAGCCTTTGATGATTTCATTAGATGGCTCAAAGATGTCATTTATTATTTCACTTGTCAATATTTCATACTTTCATATAGTTGAACAGAACATTTTGATTGCTGTACTTATACTACTTACTTAACCTGTGGGAACAGATTTTCATTCCATGTTCGATCACTCTAGAAATTTCCCTACCTGCAGTACACGTAATGAGCCGATTCCACAAGCTGCTATTATTATTATTATTATTGATAAAGCTGCACATTTTAATGAATATGTATGTTTAGCAGAACATTTCATTTAAAGAGGCCACCCAAGTTGGCTGATTAACTGACACATTTACCAAGAATAACACAGGGTAAACATTTTATCTTGATACACCACAGATTTTTAGCAGCCAAACAGCACATTGTATTAGCCTTGAATTCCAATTAGCAAATTTGGGGCTTTTTTTCTTCCGAATACCGATAACGTGTCTGGGATGAGGGAGGCCGTTCTCGGGCAAAGGATGAGAAGCTCACACAGCTGTTTTGTACAGATGAGGGGAGCTGGGAGACAATAATTTTCGTGTTGTCAATCAATAGGTGGCAGTATTCACCCAGCTCTTCAAAAGCCTGCTGTGGTCCATGGAGCAGCAGCCACACACAGGTACTACATTGTCCCGAGTACACGGTGTCCAACGCTTAATTGCAGCTGGTATTTCAATAGCAAGCACGTTCTCCACACACAGAAAGCAATGTTCCTATGCTTTATATTGCTTTGTGTTTCAGTGCTATGCCTACACTGAGTTGGTGAAAAATACTTGGTAGACCAGTAGTTTGGAAACTGGGTTGGAAGTTTGGAGCAAATAAACTCACCCAAACATTTGGAATTTGAAAACTTCACATGAAGCCCGACTTCCTAACCAGTCAATGGCAAAGCTGCCATCAGCATCGGAGACAAGACTGTATTTTAGATTGTTCACATTCCCCCTAAAAGAACAAATACTGCTCAAACATCAGATGTGATGTCCTGTACACTGTCACAGCTGGGGTCGGGCGATGGAGCCTGGCAGATGGGATACCTGGGAATGGAATATCCAGCCTCCCTTCCAGAGTAGCACAGTTGGGCCAAGTCTGCCTGGCATCTGTATGCTCTATCATTTTGGAAATCCCTGAGTAGAAAGGTGGTTAAACTGACTCTGCTCCTTGAAACAAGATACTGGGGTGTTTTTCTTCATACAGCCAAAGGCATACAGTAGGAAAGGTAAAAAAAGAGAAAAACACAAGCAAGCCTCTCAAAGTGTACATTTCTTTGTCCCCACACTTATTCTTTCTTGCAAACTTTCATACATATAAGCTACTGTAGTAAATTCCAACTCTGGTTTTGGCAATTTCTGCCTCTGGCTCCTTGTTTACCTATCATCTTTCACACATACCCTTTTGCCAATTTGTTAATTCGCTGTCTTATTCCCTGGTTTCTTGTGTTTCCTCAAGGACATTGATCTGAGTCTTACTGTTTCACTAGCTCCTTTAGCCAGTGTTCTTGATCCAAATCCATAGCAAATAACCTATTATCCACAGAGACACAGAAGTATTCAGTATATTCATAAAAAGACAAATATTTCCCAGTTCATCAGTCACAGACGTGACCAAACTCCAGAAATTCTGAAATTGTGAGTGAAGAAAAAATAATTGTGCTTGGACTAAGTTTAGAAAATTTCCCAATGAAATAATTTTCCCAAGTGTTTTGAAATATTTGAGACACCCGTGATGTAAGCAACTAAAAGAAACTGAGCTTGGCACCCCCAGCTCCTCCAGGCTTCCTGCCTCAGCCGTGGTTCCTGAACTACCATCCTCTCCACACAACCCGGGTTCCAGCACAGCCAGACTCGGCTGCAGGGCTGAAACTGGCAGATGCGCTGGTGCCCGGGGCTTGCAGACTCCCACATCCACAGGAAAGGATGCAGAGGCCAGTTGTTCTCCAGCTTTGTGGCAGGCAGTATGGCAGCAGTGTCTTGGAGCTTTGGATCCTGCTTGCTTATATTTCAGAGTATGGTTTTAGACAAACTAGCAGGAAACCAGAACTGTTTGGTCAGAATTCTTTAAAGATGGCGTGTTTTTTGTACAGTTTGGTTTAGTGGCTTTTTTTTTTTTTTTTTTTCTTTCTTTTTTTTTGCAAATCTTTTAAATTGGAAAATTTCTGATAATCACAATCCCTGGCTGGAGTGGAATAGAATCAGGCCTGGAGCGGAATAGCATCAGGCCTGGAGCGTTTGAGCCACAAAGCACTACATAGTCATTTGGGATCATTTGGAGAGTAACTTAAGGTAAACAGAAATACCTCACTGTTAGAAGTTCATCAGATCCTTAGAGGCATTACTGTTTGAAACAAGGAACCAAAGAGCCGCTGCAGTTGCCGTAAGTGATCCACATACACATCAAGAGTCCTCACCAACACTGCTTGATGGAAATGCTGCCCTAGCGCAAAAACAATTTACAGCAGAGTGGTCTTTGCTACTGGTTCATGCAATTGTTCTCCATATCAGGAAAAAACCTAAACTTGTGCAAACACATCCATCTTCAGAAAGCTTGTAAAAGTACACACAGGCCATTAGACAGATCTGAAGATATTGCTGTTCCTCAGAAACAAATTACCCAGCTGAACATCATAGAAATAATGAAGTTGTCAGCAACAAGAGCGCAACTGTGTTGTTTTGTCACTCTGGTGTTGATTATGCTATCTAGTCAGACACTCCATATACAGATAATTTATGCCATGTATTGTTTGGCCATGACTACTCCCAGCTGCACTGCATTTAATCCAAGCTACAGCAGAACATTTTACAAACAGAAATTAACAAGCTTTTCATAGCTGGTAATTTCTAGATTAGGAAAGAATAAAGGAAAAATAAGATTTACCAAACTTGAGCATGGAACAAAGCTGAGCAGAGGCAGACATGCACGATTCCAGAGAAGTAATTTTTTTTTTAAACTTTAGCTATAAAGTGATACTGTCTTCAAAGATCAGAATGATTTTTAAGGTTACAATATGATCATTAAAAAGACCAGCATGAGCTTACAAATATACAGATAGCTGTCACTGCAACTTCTGTATGATTACAGTAATTAGCAGTGTACTTATTAATACAAGGCCTATTTCTGAAGGTGAATCTCCTTTTTCTTCAAAACTTGATGTATAAGAGCTTCTATTATAAAGCACTAAACAAGTGTCATTATTTTTCATACTGAGTAAAGAAACAACTTCAATAACAGAAGAACAGCTTCCTACTATTCTATGAACCCCAAGCAGCATTTATTTCACTAAACAGATATTCCTTAAAGAGCAGCTTGTTTGCCCTGATAAAAGCAGAAATCTGTTTAAGGGCAATGACTTCTCTTTAACAAATATTTTGCAGTAATTAAAATCAGGCATTTCAAAAAACAAGAATAAAGTACCATTTCAGAAAAAAAACTTTGGTACTGAGGACAAGGAGTAGGAAGACTATTTTGCTAAGGCTAACATTTACCTGGGGAGAGAATAATTTTTACAGATCTTGATAGAGACAGACTATTCTAGATAAGGACAGTTCAAAACAAGAGCTCATTTGTCTGCATTATCGGAGAAAGCAGCACAAGGAGATCTGTCTCACTAGACCAGCTTTTGTGAATAGCCCCATGGGTCATGTCTGTAAGAGAGAAACATCACAATTCCTGGCTATGATAGTTTTACACAAGCTGAAATTCATACTGCAATCATTTGCTCTGATGCGACTGTTCATTTACATTTTAGTTAAAAAGAAAATAACTCTGAGGAGTTCCAAACCAGCATCTCACAGGAGCAATACAAAAACCTTAACAGA